GCTGAAAAAACAGCACTTACAACCACAGTCTGGGAATTCATGTTCACTCTTTAAAAGATGTTTTTAGCAGACGTAGGGTTTGTTTTGGGTTTTTTTTTTTTTATTTCTTTGGTTGAAGGAATTGCCTGCACTTATTTATTATGGTTCATATATAAAGCCGTGTTTTTCTATTGCCTGGTGATGTTTCATGGCTACTTTCCATGCTGCTAGCATACCACCTTGCTCCAAGACCATCACCCAAAGGATCAGGGGAGAGCCTTACAGAGAGGGAGGTCACCTGCCTGGGAGGAGTCAGGTGGGCCACCACTGACCTCCTCAACCCACTACACCAGCCCTTCTCCCTCTGTTTGCTTTACAGGGCTTCTGTCTTGGTGCCTAGCTCCTTCCTTGTACATCACCAAGGTGAACCCTTCAGATTACTTCTCTGGACTCTAAGCACAGCCAACACTTGGCAGCAAGGGACAGCAGATGCCTTGAGTAGTCAAACGTTGCAACCCCAAAGTCCACCCTGTGTGGAAAGCCTTGTAGGCTGTTGCTGCTGAAGGAAAGGTTGGGACACATGATGTGGGTTTAACTCTGGAGGAGTGATTATGTGCCCAATAACTGCAGGTGCTGCTCACCCCTCTCATTGCTGTGGCAGCCGTGGGACCAGCAAGTCCAGCTCCCCAGGGCTCCTCCATCCTCTCTCCCGCCAGGGTCTCTTCTGTGGTAGAAGCTGCCTAGATCCAGCCCACCTCCAGCATCTTTGGTGTTGCCTGCAGTGCTGGGAAGCCACCACCAGCTGTGACTTTGAGTATTATTTTATGATGCCTGGGACTTGCAGGCAAAGAAGAAAAGGTTGGTGGTCGGCCCCTTGTGCCAAACTGGACTGGTCTTCCTCATGTTTCAAGCCCTCTCATGGCTGAATTGCCAGTGTAGCTCTGAACAGGGTGAATTCTACAACCTCTTTTGTCCCCTTCTTTCAATGACAGTAACTCCTATATAGTTTTTCCCTCACTTCTGGTTTATTATTATTATCATCCTCATCATTCTCTGTTGCAGACTCAGTCTTTAGAAGCGAACTGAAGGCAGTTGCTTCAGGCTTTGTAATGTACCATTACAACCAAAGGGAAAAAACACCCTTCTTGACAGCTCCCAGTATTATTTTGGGCCAAGCAGTGAGTTGCTGAGTGGGTAAGAAATACAAGCTATTCCCCAAGGAGCAGGCACGGATAATGCATGTTCACTTCCCTGCCAGGACTGAACATGTACCTTTGAAGAAGTCCTTTCACCTTTTTCTTCCACATCCTGTCTCACTCCTTGCAGTCCTGCTCATTTAGATTGAAGAGCAATCTGTGCTCAGCCACTAGCATAACTGGGCTCAATTAAGGCTAAAACCCAGAAAAGTCATGTTGAAGCTGTAGCCAGTAACAGACTCTTTGAAAAGAGTAGGAGAAGGCTGTACTGTGTCCTCCCACCCCATCCTTGCCTGCATCCCAAATTCTGCCGGTCAGTGCAGTAGAGACTTTTTGAGCCAGAGGTTGTGTCTGACCTCTTGTGTCAAATTGCCACTGTCAGATCTATCCTCCTCCCATTTATGCTTCTGGTGTCCTTCCTCCTCATGCCAATGTGGTTCCACAAGGCTGTGGCCATGGGGAGCTCCCCAAGTTCAGCGGTAAAAGGCCCAGAGATCAGAGCCCATCACCACATTGCAAGAATCTACCAAAGAGCCTCATCATTTCCCTGAAGAGCCAAATAAATAATTCCTAAATAAATTAGTCACATTGAAAGCATGAAGCTTTTCCTTTTGAAGCCTGAGAAATAATTTACCATGTGGGTTTAGTCTCCTTAATACTCTTTAAGATGCATGGCACACATTTCTGGTAAGACCTCTTTACTTACGGAGTAACCACTGACCATTTAATTACATGTAAATTACCATATAGTGATAAGAAGATTGCATGATTAGCAGTGGGATAACAAGGCCTGGAAAGTACAATGTAATTGACAGCTAAATACATTGTAATTTTGAGTCCTTAACTCAAAATGCAATTTACTCAATCATTAATCTTGGATAACTGCATATTCTGGAGGAACAGCATGTGATTTACTGAGCAATGCAACATTTGAGTAATTCCCTGGGGTAGCCCCACGAAAAGATATGGTTTTGCATGTAACTTGAAATCCCAACTATATCCACAAAAGGGTTACATGATACCCATGCCTCCTTCTGCCTGTGAACGTGGCTGATACCCAGAGACAGCTCCCAGAAAAGCCATGGTAGCGCAGCATCCCTTTTGGACTGTGCAAGTCCCATCTAACCCAACCCTGGCTATGGCATTCAGTGCTTGCAAGTGGAAGGCAGTAAAAGCAAAGGCAGATGAAGGAACAAATTAGTGTTGCAGCTAGCTCTGGATAGCTCCAGTGGACACCATCCCTCCCAGCCTTGCCTGCCATGGGGCGGCTAGGTGGAAGCATCCTTCGCTAAGTGGCTCTACCAATCCTATTCACCTTCTGGCCCCCTTCAAGCAGCCCTATGTTCCCAGAGCATAGGAGGCCAGCTAAGGATGCTGCTCACAAGTTCTCAGTGCAGCTCTACAGTCAGCTGAGTTGCTGCCCGTGAGGTGGGCTTGGCTGGACACGCTTCCTCAGCTAGTCCACTGCCTGGCCGATCTGCTGCTGCGGATGGGCGTGCAGCCACAGGGGGCTCTCTGAGGCAGCCCACTTGCAGTCAATCTGTTTATTTTTCCAGTGCCAAGTTTCCATCTCGTTTTCAATCTGTGAAGCGTGGGTGCTCCTGCCCTCCTTTGCTGAGGCTGGGCCATGCCCCACGTGCCAGCGGTACCACCCCCCTGAGCACCCCTGCGGACTTTGTCTGCCCGAGGAGCTGGGCCAGTTCGTCCTCCAGGAGGGCTTTCTGGTGCCACGCCAGCACCTGCGTGGATTCCCAAGGTAGCTCTGAAGCCTACCTCAAAGGGAAACCAGCAAAACAATACTATCTGGAACAAGCCTGAGAGTGAATCTCCTTCTGTGTCCTGATTTGGATAGGTGGATTTGGTGGACCTGGGCTTACAGCACCTCCACACTGCCTCCAACTGCTGTGCCAGTAGCTTCTTTGGGCAGGGGGCAGTTTTGTAGCCAAGAAACATGCAGCCCTAGACACAGCAGACTCAAGCTCAGCCTGTCGTTTCCTAACAGCTTTCCCCACTGTGATGATGGACATCCACTGGAAATTAAAAAAAAAAAATCAAACTTATAGACATTGAGTAGAAAGAACTATTAAAAAAAAAGGCAAACCAAAAATAAAGGTGGGCAGGTCCCTTGCACTTCAGAGCATGTGGTATTTATTAGACATAAATTGGCACACAAGAATAGAAAAGAGTAGCTAGGTAGGGTTTTTTTTTCTTAGCTACATGGCTTTGGCTATCTGACTATAATTCCTCCTGCACGCATACCAGCATTCCCACGCATTCACACCCACATTCTCATTGGCTGACACACAGGTATGCCTCTTTCATTAATTAGAATTACTTTTAATTAAAAATATATGTAAATTATATAGCAAGAGTGTGCACAGTTTAGAGAGGAAAAAAAGAAGAAGAAAAGAAAGCAAACTTCAGTATCAATAAAATTTAAACCTCTCTGAATCAGCTGCTTTGCTGGCTTTATGACATACTATTACTTATTTGAACTTCCGTGTATAAATAAATAGTACCAGTAAATTTTTACATCTGAAGATTCCTGCAGTAGACATTTTTACTTACACACTTTTGCTTTTTCTTCTGTTCTTGCTTCCCCCACTCCCATCCTCCCACCATCATTTTCTGCTCCATTTAAACACATTTGTGTAATGGCTCACAACATACCCAAACGAGTACCCTTTTTCGTTGTTTTTTCCCCTTTTTCCGAGAGGAAGAAAAATCAAGACTGATGAAACACAAGTTGGGGAATTGCAAACAAGCATCATCATCATTTTCAGGAACGTCGTTTTTTTTTTCCCTTTGCTCTGCATCTCCTCTCCCCTCCCTCTCTTCCCCCTTGCAGCTGGCTCGCAGCCTCGCCGTCCTCATGCCGGGACGAATTTGGCAGGAGACGAGCTGTGGATGTTTTCCAGTTTGAAAGATACCCCGAGTTTCTGCCAGAGACAGCTGATGGAAGAGAGAGGCAGAGAGATGCGAAGGAAGGATGAATGAGAGCATTACAGCACACACATTGAAAAGGAGATGAGTTTACTGGGCTGGTGCTTTCCGAGATGCATTTTGGGGCATGTGCAGCATTTACAGCAAAACATAGCACGCTGCGGTGAGCAATTTCACTCATGGAACGATGTCTGGTCGAGGTAGGTACCTACATTTTCTTATTTGTGGGTTCATAATACCTCTTTCTGTTGAAAAGTAACAACGATAATACTAATTAAAAAAAAAAAAAAACACCACTCCAAAATCCACCCTTTTAAGTCTTGCTAAAAAGGGCTGGTGTCTTTTTTTTTTTTTTTGAGAAAATTGAAAGAAAATATATATATATATTATTATTTATTATATAACATTGTCAACATCAACACCACAAAAAAGTAACATCCTAGTTGTTTTCGTTCAAGCACTCTGACTGTGTTGAAAAAGGCAGCAGGAGTTTTGTGTCCCTTCGAAAACAAGAAGAGCAGGAGGATGGGGAGGGACGAGGACATGGGGGGGGTTGTGGCAGCAACACAAATTCTGTGGGAAACGTGTCGGGGGAGAAGAGTGTTGATCTGCTGATTTTCTTTTGAGACAAAAGAAAAGGGGGGCAAGTCACACCGAGGACGATGAACTATTTCATCTGTGGTTTCAAACAGCCGATGAGCTCAGCGTCCGTCTCTCTCTCTGTCTCTCGAGTGCTACCGGTGAACATTCAGTTAAAGGAGTCTTGCAAAACGCTCTCGTTTTTATTACTAATAGGGTATTTTTCCTTTTCCTTTTTTTTTTTTTTTTGTTCCTTCTTCAATTTTTCATGGTTGATCCTCTTGCACTTTCCTTACTGCCTTGTTAGCTGTTCTCGCTCCACTCTGGCACCATGCCCACGCCGTGCACCGAGTGGTACTGGTGGGGCGAAAGGGTTCGAGGCACTCCGTGCGAATACAGGAACTCTGCCGGCTGCAAGTTGCTGGGGGGGGACTGGATGCCGGTCTGAGGTCCACACTGCCGCACGATGGGCTGGTGAGAAACCGAGGTTTGGTGCTGGAACATGCTGTGGGTATCTCCTATTTGGGGGGAGGTATGGTTGGCCACGCTGCTGAGACGGGGCATCAGCGGCCCAGAGGTGAAGTGGGCAGAGAAATGCTGGTAGGGTAACCTGTCCATCGGCTGCATGGCAGACACTGTGCAACTGCTGTAGGAGGGCACGCTCGGCCACGTGTTACAGCTGATGTCTTCTAGGCTGGGCACGGGGTCCGTGGGGGGAGCCGAGCTGGCGTACATACATGCTTGGCGCTGAGCTGATTCAGTCCTGTATGAAGTGTTCAGTCCCTGCTGCTGGGGGTAACTGGACCTGTAGAAAGGATCCTCTTCTGCCGGAGAAGTTTCCATGTAGGGCTTCTTGTAGGGATGCTCGGTGGTGGAACACTCCTCATCTGTTGAGAGAGAAAAATCCTGGTAGCAAATAACAATACTGTGCCCTCAGCTGAACCTCCCTCTCTGCCATCTGTCAGTATGATCCTCATTTTAGCAAGGCCACAGCCTGCACAGAGCTGAAGCAGAGCCTCATCTCAGACACATCAGCGTAAATCCAGACCCATTCCTCTGGAATCCATCTGAACTGATCCTGCTGCAACAAAGCAGAGCATTTGGCCCTGTCCGCTGAACTGGAGAGGGAGGGGATTAGCTAGGAGCTCTGGGAGGAAAAGTAAGGCTAAAAGCTGCTGAAGGGATGCTGAGACTTAGCTTTTTCAATGAAATCCCACGCAAGCCATCGCACCACCGAGTTGCTTGTCTCCTTTGGGCTGCCAGCAATTTCATCAGAAGAGTATCTCCTGCCCGTAGACCCACCGTGCCTAACGGAGCTCCCCTCTTATAGCAGAGAGCCTCAGAGCTGATGCTGTTAATTAAAGGCCTTTATAATGATATACTTCCATGATAAATGACATAAAAAGGAGATGGCAATAAAAATCACCCTGGCACAGCATCAGTGAGATATTCAGATCTGGAGTTTTACAGCCCCAATCTTTACTTGTGCCAAGGGAGCTGGGCACATAAATTCACTCAAGGCTTTGTGCTGCATGCTGAAGCCAAGTGTAGTGAAAAAGAAAAATAAATCTCACAGCTAGAAACAGCAAGGCTCAGCTTGCAGAGCTCTTTGTTTCCTGCAGCATCCCTGGCTGAGCCGAAGGCAACGAGAGAAGGAGATAAACAATTTAGGTGAAATCTCTAGGGTGAGACAACATGAATAAATGAATATGCACTTATTTATTCATTCACAGGGTCATCAAGTGAAATCCATCTCTGCTGGAACGGATGGCAAAGTTCCCAGGGACAAGCACTTCACCAAGAGATTTTAAGGACAGTAAGGCAAGTGAAGGGGAACTTGTTCTGACCCAGATTAACTTTGCTGTAAGAACAGAAATTCAGGTTCAGGCAGAAAAATACCCCACTTAAATTAAAGCCCTCTTGGGACCCAGCACCCTTTCAATAATGGTAGAATCTGAAAGAATATTGCAAGAAATACACCTTTTCAATTGTTTCAGTTAATACATTTTGAGTCGCAACATTTTCACCTCCAAAATATAAATAATAAAAAAAACAGTTCCACTAAAAGAACTAAAACTTTCTGCCCCAAAAGAAGCACTCCCAAGAAACACTGGTGTTTTTGTAGCGCTGGTCCAACTACCGAGTGCCAACATCTCCCTTCCAGGAGGTGCTAATGGGTAGCGCAGGCACTTTTTGTTTCTTGTAAACACGCACATGCCCTTCTTGCTGTAAACAGCTATGCGCTTTCTCCTGGAAGGTGCCCCCACTCTACTTGTAAAATAACCCCTCGCTCCCACTCAGGCGCCTGCTGAGTCCAGCGCGTACAGCTGCAGCAGCTGCTATCGTTAGTCTTCTCGGCCTGACAACCCCAGGAAAATGCCAGGTCTTCTGGTGCTGTGATACCCACTGTGCGGACTTTCCCCTTGGTGTCCTCTGGCTTTATCTGTAATAGCAGCTGCCTGTGAGTTCAGCTGGACAACTGTCATCAGATTCAGTGCTTTCTTCCTGGCAAACGCAAAACCTGGCTCCCTGGTCCCAGCAACGCACAACCCTGATCATCAACGGTTATCCTGCACCTCCAGCTTCTCTTAAATGTAGACTGAGAGTAGGACAGGAGAACCGAGCAATGCAATCACATCTTAAAAATAGCTAACATGGTAAGTAGCTGGACATAAAAGTGTATAACACTCCTCAGTCCCAATCAGGTTCATGTTCTATAGGAGCAGTGAGCAAAACGTAGTTCCCTGAACGACAGTGAGCTGGAAGCACCGGTTTCAGTTCCTTCCTGAACATGGATCTGTAACAGGAGGTGCATCCAGAATAATAGCCTGAGTTCTAGCTTTTGCACACAGCTTAAAGGTTTTGGACCCCTAACCCACCACTGAGTAATAAGAACACTAGGGTGGAAAAACTATGTCTTGTAAAATGAAGCATTGTTCTGCTAATAAAGTTTTCAGCGTTAAACTGCATTACTCTGTTGGCATTAGAAGTCATTGGCTTGGGGTTTGACTGTTTATTTTATTTTATTTTTAAATATACAGCACAAAACAGTCAAACTCTGTGTTTTTCCATTGTGCAGAAATGTGCCTGACTTAAAACCTGAGGTTGTGGATTTTTCCATTTAGTCCAGAAGTTTTGCTCCCTGCCACAGCACAGCCAGGCAGTGAGTTACAGACCCTCTTCCAGAATTAATCACAGGTGGAGAAAGAAAAAACGTAACAACTAGCATTTCAGTGAAAACATAATAGGTGCCTTCTCCTCTTCTGTAAACTCCAATGATTGCTCTAGCAGCCTCTCTAGATCCAAGCTCATTTATGTCATATATGGGACGGGCACTGCCAGTCCAGACCATAAGAGATTTAAAGATGTTACACCCACCTCCAAAGAGAACACAGTGGATAATGAGGGACTGCAGCTCACCCTAGCTGTTCCTGCCTACCTTCTGGCCCCCTTTCCTCATGCTTTTTCTATCTATGTAACCTCAAGAAGTTCTCAAGAGAGAAGAGAACAGACCATCTCAAAGTTAAATGGGGTGAAGCAGACCAGACATCCTCAGCTGGTATCAGCTGATGAATTTACAGTGGTCCAGACTCCCCAGTCGGAGCTGACATTTCGCCACGACTCTTCACAGAGGAGACCAGAGCCAGAGCAGAGCAGGTGAAGTTCATTCCCACAGCGCACATGGCAGATCTGGGGGTGGGCAGGAAACATCTTCAGGCAAGAGAATGGCAAAAGGGACACAAGTCAAACAGCTCTCTTGTATTGTCCTACTGGAAAAAAAGCCCCTTAAGGAGGCTTTTCCGTTTTGCACAGTTTGGAGTCATCCTCATCTGCTCTGAGCCTGGTCAGCGCATCCTAAGGCCATAATCCTCTTCCTCTCACCACCTCAGCATACGATAGATATAGCAGAGAATCATCTGGTCCAATCTGGGTTTGTTTCTTGATGTTGGTTCCCTGATAGCATTTCATTTTCCTTTTTTTTTCTTGGCACTGAGCCCTAGGAGGTGCTGGACCCCTCTGGGAGATGCCCACCATTCTCCACTTTCATTGCTATTCTTGGAAGCAAAGGATAGCAATCAGCTCTTGTGACGAGCCCCTCGATACTGTATAAACCTCAAAAAGCGAAAGGTTCTGCCAAGCAGAGGGAAGCAGCCAACACTTGGGAGAAGCTGCTCCGAAGTGTGTCCAAGGAAAACGGAGCCTGCAGAATGGGGTGGAAACTGGCTCCCTCACAAGGAATTTGATGATCTATCTAATGAAGGAGCTTGAGCAAGAACATAAGCTGTTCCAAGATTTCCGGTATTTACTACTTCCAGCTGCATTTTAAATACCATACAAATGGCTTTTTAAATGGAATTTTCCCAGTTCCAAAATCAGGCCCATCCAGAATGAAATGCAAACATGTAAAATCTCTGGGCTGCAGGGTACAGTGGGCCCACCTCTTTCCCCGGTATAAATCAGGGGAGCTCTTTCAAGTTTGTGACAATCAGCTCACTGGGACCAAATACAATGAAGAACGGGAACCAATTGTTTTGGTTTTTAAAACTTGCCCACACTTCAAAGATATAACAGTACATTCATCTTGACATTTTGAGGGAGGCACAATGGATTATTATCATTAACATTGCTGCTTTACCCATTGTAGTTTCTAACATGAATGTAGCATCAGCCTGAATAGCCAATTGCCATGTGCAAAGCTGACAAGGGTTGTCGAAGAAGAAAAGAAAAAGGCCAATCTGATCAAAATGTGCTTCCTTAAAGAGTAAACAAGACCTGCTTCCTAGGATGTGAAACCTAAGATGTGTTACGGCTATCCTAGTTATGCTTAGCAAAAGTGACAGAAATGGTTGTGAGGCAGAGACATCCAGCACCAAAAGCTGGAGCCTCTTGCAGAGACAGTGAGTTGCCAGTACCGCCTGCAGAGGAGTAGGAGGCACCTCCTGATGGGAGAGTAGCATGCCTGTGTGAAGCTGCTGAAACTACAGCCCCACAAGCAATGTGACTGCGCAGCACAGAGCTGGGTGCTCACCAGCCACCTGGGTATTTCCCTACCTTGCAGGCAGGTTCTGCTTCATTTTTGGTGCTACAGCAGCAACCTTGTTCTGGGCTCCAACCTTTCTTAGCTGCATCTACCCAAGCTGCAGACATATCTCTGGCTGCAGTGTAGCAGTGGACACCTCACTGGATCTCCTAATGCTGGCAGAATGAGCAGCGTGTCCTCCAGGGAGACCTCATATGGAGGGTATCTGACTTCTTTTCAGCCCTGGTCCTACAGCTTCTTCAAATCAAAGAAAAGCTAGGTGGGATAGGGAGAAATCAGCTCAGCAAATGAAGAGGTCTGTCTACCCTAACAGTGCCTGTTCTTGAAGAGAAAGGGGAAAGGCATTGCTGAATTGCCACCAACTTCAGTAAAGCAGGAAGGAGATGAAAGATATATTCTTCCCCATGGATGGGGTCACGTCCAAGCTAAGTGGCTCAAGGATACCGTCCTCACTGGTTGGAGCCGGTGGATTCTGCCACGTTCCCTCTTCTCCCTCAGAGTGCCAACATGACAACTTTTATAATGTCCCAAGGGAGAGACTATTCCAGTCGCCTCCTGTTCAGCATCACAAGCATCCCAGAAATCTGCCAAGTGGTTGAGATTGTGTAAGGCTGGGAGGGAGCAGAGGTTTAGAGGGATGACTTTTTAGTTCACGGGAACCCTAAGAAAGAGGATAACACAAGGGAAAACAAGCCCTGGTGCTGTAGTTGGGAAGTGGGGCTAAAATGAAAGACAGAAAGCAAGCTGCCTGCTGGAAAGTCCTTCAGAGCATCTCAGAGCACAGAGGTGAGAGATGGAGAGGTGGAGAACAAAAAGAAAAAAAGGAAAAACTAACTGAACCTTACCATAGCCTAAAAATCCAAATCAAGAACTGAGGCCGCTCCTTGCTAGGATACAGCTTTGGAGTTAATCCATCCTTTCAAGATCAGTCTCTATGAAATGCCATAAGCAGTCTCTGCATGGAGCTGGGATATGGTACTGGAGAATTCATGCCTTGAGGACTGCCGTTCCCCAGCCTGCCAGCCTACGACATGTTCAGAGGGTGCCGGGAACAGCAATCCCCATTACACCATGCTGGGGTTATTCCCAATGCTGCATCCCTACACTCCTGCCTAGGCCCCAGGAATTCCCAGATCTGGGGCTCTGGCACATGTCCTTCCTTTCTTTACCCAGAAGAGGATCAGCTCCCTGAACCACAGAGGAGCCTTCAGAGATAACATCCCCTCAGAGCCCTGCTGCTCACTCTTAATGTAACTTCCATATCAGAACTCTAGAGCGAATCCATCTTGACTTGACAGCTAAGAACAACAGTCACCCACAAAGCTATATCTTTTCTTGAGCCACTAAGAAAATAGAAGAGTTTGAATAAGGTTAAGGCTTATTAAGCCTTTAATTAATTAACCTTAATTAACCTTAAGGTTAAGGCTAAGGCTTTCAGTTACTAGAATACAGACCTCTTAACCAAGCCTAAAACAAGACTTTCCTTCCTGATTAAAAGTAATATGGAGAAATACCACAAGCTGCCACAGCTGGAAGAAGCAGTATCTGAGAGTCTATCATAGAAATCAGTGGCAGTATTTTTTACAGCAAGTAAAGACAACAGCTGCTCTGGAATCCAGTCAAACTACCTTCTGCCCCTGTGAGCACTTGTCCATACCCACAGCCTTGCAGAAAGGAAATAATCCGCTCAAGACAAATCCTAAACTGAAGCAGAGTCAATATGTTTGGGGAGCTAATGATCCAAGGAAATCAATCAAATTTCCAAGCCAGGAAAAGGTCAGATATGTATCAAGAGCGAACACACTGTTATTTTCATTGTTTTGTTAGATAGTCAGACTTGTTAGAAATTACGCAGAAAAAGCTTAAAGTAGGAAAGTAGGAGAGGTGTGAGGAAAAGCTTAATATTTCACTGAAAAAAGGAGAGACTCGAAAAGAAGAGGAGGAAAAAGAGGAATGTTATGGGTAAGATTATTTTCCCTAGTCTAATAAAGATCCTTGTTCAGTGCTAGAAGAAAGTGCCATGCTCAGTCTGAGTTTGAGATGAAACCTTGGATCACATTCTGATTTATCTGAACCAAACTGCTCATCTCTAGTTACTTTTTTTTTTTTAATTAATTTCACTTTGCAAAGAGCTTCTTGGCAGCTTATATTGGCTCTCTGTTTCCTATTAACTTTGTGTTTCTTTTCTTTAAGCTCTGGTGGCTGTTTTGGATTTACTAGATGCATGGGGAGGGAAAAAGCTCAACAAGGAAAGCAGAGACTCAGGCTCCTGAGACGTACAGCTTCACGGAAGAAGCCGGTAGTATCAGACAGGACACTGCTTCTCTTTGATTAAAGCATTTGGCGGCTTTGATAAAAGGCCCTTAACTGCTTGTGCCACTCAAGCCATCGTGGAGATAATGAGGGGCCATCAGCAGTACAGACAAGGACTCTTTGCCAGTCTCCTGCACTTTTGCAAGGACCATACAGGCCAAAAGGGGCTGGGGAGCTTATTACAGGGCAGATAGTCGTCTCTTCTGTGACAATAAGAGGAAGTGAGATAATTGGGGGATTGAGGGAAACCACCCATGGAGACACCACTTAGCGGGAATCCCAAAACTGGAAGGAAACCTCTGTTGATTCCTTATCGCTTTACAATGTGGAGGCAAATGATGAATTGCCCTGCGGTGCGGGGACACACAGCAGCCACAGATTGTCCAAAGCGTTTATTGGCATTCGAGCTAGCTTGTTTTGCTTAGTTTTTGCAAAGGGGAAGAGGACTGGTGAAAGCTCAGCTCCTAGGGCAAAGGGGCACTGAGGCCGGATTTCAGGCTGAGGGACGCCAAGGGTGAACGTGACCTGCTTTCCCATCACTAACAGTGGGGCTTTGTAGCAATCCAGACATGTCCCTGCAGCTCACACCCACATTCACACAGCACCGTGGGGGTAGGAGAATAACACAACCCACCTCCAACCTTATGGGATGCTCTGGGAGGCCACTGCTGCTCCTCATTCCCAACCTTGGAGCTAGCTCAAGTCTAGCATCACAATTTCCAATCAGTTTTGGTACACCTCTATGAGTGCAAGGGATCCAGCCAATTGCAGGGGTTAGAAAATGATGCCTCTATTTTACACTATTCGATTTGGTTTCGCATCAGGAAAATATTAAGATTTCTCAACTGTTTTTTTTTTCATGACTCTATATGTACATATACATCCTCAATGAGTCCTCTGATCACATGCACGCACACATGATGAAGCAGCATTCAGAGGATTCACTGAGGATGTGAGACTCACATTTCTCTTAGCCCTCCTGCTTCATCTGGATGGGACTGCCAGCCCTCCCCATCAACCACTGCCTTATATTGTATGTCTGTACTGCATACGACAACACCCCAGGGGTTACATTACAAAAATAATGCCATATAGCTGACTGACAGGGTTGTGTGGGGAAGCAGGAAGGGATCTGCTGCAAGGAGAAGCTACCTGAGCTTTAGCAATTCGTGGTGCATCCAAATGCCATGGTGCCGACCAATTCCTCTTAACCATTTCCCATACAACACATATTCCAAATCCTGAGAAAGGGGAACAGTGGTAGGCTGTGCAAGTTCTCCTTCTTACCCTGTATGGTTGCACTCTGCCCTGCAAATTCCCTATTTTCTTCTGGGTCTCTGGGGTGGGGTTGATCTGAGGCTTTTTCTATCCCAGTTCTATACATGTTTGTGTATGTGGGCATCCCCACTGCTTTGAGAGAAGGGAGAGACTGCAAGCTGTTCGCTCCTGCCTGAGAGCAATTATCCCATCGATACTGTGGGACTCATCGTGCCAGGAACCGCTGATCAGGCAGAGTAAAGCACTCACAGTTTGAGCCCTCAAGCTCTATCAAAGCAGGTCACTCACACCAGAGCAGAACGATCACTGATATCGAGATTTTTCAATCCCATGCCCCATTCATTAGACCAAGCATTTAAATGGAATTGCTTTCTGCATTTGGACAAATATCTCCCATCTGTGAGACTCAGAGTCAAAAACCGTGCAAAATCCAAGCTGTCAAGGTATCTACACTTGCAGATTAACCATGTCTGAGGGACTATGGAGACAGATAAGTCATCTTTATCTCTGGCACCAGTTATCTTCCTGAATGTGGATTCAACTTGGGTAAAAGGTGCTGCCACCCCTCCAAACAGCTCACTGCTAGACCAGCAGAAGGAAAATGGTTTTAAGCTAACACTAGTGAGACCAGTTTTCCAGCCCAGCTCTGGGGAGCTACCCACTTCCAGTGCACAGCCCTCATCTTAAATGGTGCCACAATAAAGCAGGCTGGTGCAGTCAAGCCCACGGGCAAGGGAAAACAACACAAAATAACACTGACAATCATGTTCAGAACGGGAAAGCCATATAGCGGGAGCAGAGCAGGGAGCCGCCAAGGCCTGACCTTTTCTCTTGGTGCAGTGGTAGATCTGGCTGTGCTCCTGGGAGATCGGGTACGGGTTGGCAGGTGGTAACAGGTCCTGGGAGGTACTCGACACCCCGTTCTCGCATTGATACTGGGACCCCAAGTTGGAGGAGGCGGAAAGGACCCTGGTCTCACCGCTGAACGGGCTGTGATTTGAGGACACTTTTTGTCTCACTGTGCTCCTGGGAACAACCGGGTACTCTTTACTGAAAAAACAAGGCAGAAAAGCAATTAATTAATAAATAGACCAATGAATTAATAAATGAAAGCAGCACATTAGTGTCATGGTGTTTATTTAGACTTTCAGGGAAGCAGAGCCATCTACCCAGGAGACTGCAGCCCTGTCACACTTCATTGCTACAGTGCTCGCTCCTATTTTATTTTCCTTTAAGTATCTTTCTCTTTAGATTTCTGCCTCTTCCACTAAGACAGCTATTTTATACACATACATAGAATAGACATATGTAGTTACAGAGAAGTATAAAACATTTATATTTACATTTCATGATAGTTTTTATAAGTTATATGCTACTTACATATGTGTATGTGTGTAAAAAACAAAACAAAAAAACAAACAAAAACCCACTCATTTCTGCCAAGTTGCTTACAGGAAAACAAGCTGACTTGGAGATGAATTAAATACTTAGGTTTGCTTTTTCCCCTCGTGGTAGTTGTCCCCATGCCTTTTCCCCAGCCTCTGCCAGCCTGGCTGTCCTCAGATGGGGATCACTGGACCAGAGAACAAGTACCATTCTGAAGTGCTCAGAGAAAAGAAATAAATAAACCACCAAGACCTCATGCATGCCAGAGCCACTTGTCTCATTGGAGCTAGGCTAGGAGGGTGAGAACTGATGGAAAGTCTAGTTTGCTTCCTTGCTCTGAAATCTGGTTTGAAGTAGGGGTACTTTGCCAATACTGCCTGGAAATCCCCTCTCCTACTAGATCCTGCCATACTCTTGAATACATCAGCAACGTGGCTGGACAAGATTATTCCTGTTCTGCGGGAAGCAAAACTGAGGCTGAGTTCTGGGTCTCCTGTTTGGTAACACGGAGGCCCCAGAGGAGATGTGAGCCTCCTCCTGTGCCATCTAAGTCAACAGAGCACTCGCTGAACCCAAAGACTTTCTAAAATGCGTTAAGAGCAGGTAGCACCGCAGCACCTTGGGGAAGTGTCACGAGGTATCAGGCTGAGAGCAGCCAAGAACCAGAGCCCAGTTTACAACATAAGCTTTCGTCTTTGAAGTTAAAACCATTGGACCAAGCTGCCTTTCAGGTACCTTACTCACCTGTCCAAGGCTTGTATGCTGGAGCAAGAATAGATCCTTAAACCTCCCCTTGAACCAGCTTGCCTGGCCCTATACACATTCAGGAGGGAGTCCTGAATCTATCTGATTAAGCTCATTAGAGAGGACCTGTCACTGTAGCAACTCAGAACTCCCTTGGAAAGACGAGCCTGATGCCACGGTGTTCTCCTGTGTAGAGACCAACAGGGTCTGCCAGCAGGAGATGGAGAATACAAGACAGTGCTACAAGTCACCTTACATTGGTCAGATGCTGCGTTCCCACCAAGAACCCAGAGTCCTTGCACCACAGAAAAGCCATAAGCTGTCCTATATGGGAGTAGGAAAAAAAAAAAGTTTGGGGAAAGAAATCTTGGAAAAGTAGATAATTTGGGATGAAGTTCAACTCTGCACTGAAGGGACTCAGTCTTGAAATCTTGACTGAAGTTCGAATTCCCATTTGGTTAGATTTTTTCCCAGATCGTAGGATCAGACACTGGTATCTGCATGGCTGTTCCCTAGTAGTATGCACACTCTTCTTTAGAGTTCATCATACAGCCCTAGTCCTACAAAGAAGGCCTTACAAGTGACTTCTTCCTGCATTTCCTCAGCACTTCCACTGGAATCAGACATCTAGCAGGTGTAATGAGCAAATTGTTACAGCTTACGACATGTTCTCCCTTCCCAGCCAATGACAGACTATGGAGCTCTATGAGATCACTTTTCACGGCTCTGTAAGATTACTTATGCCACAAATTCATATCTACCAAGAGATTCAAAGGAGAGAGTTCAAGAAGGGTTTGTAATCTCAGAGCTGGAAACATCACTGGCCTTGCAAAATAATAAAAACTTGTGGAAAAAGAATAAATCTAGGTCATCACAAAACAGCATCTAGTCCACTTTCATGCTTACCACTACATTGTAAGGAGTAATTTTTAACTTTTCCATGTGCAGACTTGAAGTTTCCTAATGTACAAGCCAATGCATAGTACATGCAGCCTGCAAGCAATAATCTTGTTAAAAATCTCTTCAAAGGTCCATAAATTACAATCAGGAACCCTCTGGGCTGAAAGATCAAATCCCTACCAGCCCTAGACAAATGGTTTTAGAAGGTGCTTCTGATATTCTTGCAACAAAGCAACATACATCAATGCTCTCCAGAGTTACTGTAGCTCATGGCAAGAAGACTTCAGAAGAGCTATTACATGTCAGGCCCCAAGGATCAAATCGATGTCTCTCTGAGGCCAAGACGAGGCATGATATGGAAGAGGATTTCCCCATAGTTAGCTGCTATTGTGATCTCATAGCATCATTTGAAGCACCTAAGCTGGGCACTGTCTAGATCTTGTTTCCAATGGTAATTCCTAGTCTGGTAAAATCTGAACTACAGTACATCAGTCAGGGATGGGAAAAGTGGCCAAACACAGTGATTCCCCTCCACTCT